GCCGCGAGAGCCGCCTGACCCAACCTTTGAACCACCGAACTTTTTTCTTCCTTCGTGAACGTTCTCGAAACTGTAAGCATATAGATTAGGAAAGTACGAATAAAGCAGAAAACCACAGGACGGAATGCAAAGCGGTACTGATAAATGAAGGAAAATTATTGTTGTTTTGGTTTGATAACTGCTGCTTAACATGTGCGTGCTCCGGTAATTATAACAGGAGCGCTATGTCAGATCTCGGATGGGATTTGAACCTGCATCTCTCGCTTACCAGGCGGCTGCTGGAAGGCAATAGTACAAAAAGCACAAAAAGACGATAAGAGGCAATGACACGATGGTAAGAGCATCCCCGGTAGCTTAATGGATCACGCAACCGCCCAGTATGCAGGGGATGCGGGTTCGAGTTCCATCCGAGATCTGACTTCTGTCCATACTCAGCACTCCTGTAAAACAAAACTGCCTGGCAACTTGCAACACCCACCTCTCCTTGTCATTCCTTTTACTGCCTTTCTTCTTTCCACCGTATCCAAACTTCTCACTTTTCCACTTCTTCTTGGCGTCGAAACCACGACCCACTTTATTCCCACCAAAGTTCTTCGTTTTGTTCGCAGATGTTGAGGCATCTTCGTCATCCTGAACACCACTTGCAGTAAGAAAAAAGTAGCATTGTAGCAGAAAATAGGAATCTATCGTGCTAATCTAAGAACACAATAATCAGAAATGTAGACTGTTTGACTCCAGCTTACGGGGCACACGGCTTCACTCCCATGTGATCGGTACCGATGTGATGAAGTCTACTATGGACGGTAATCATGTACGGGATAGGCTGCAAGGGTGTTTGGCACTGGTCCTAGCTCAGGTACTTATTGATTAACCTCCAAAACAGGGTGTTTGGTGCCGTTCAGCAATTGCTTACACAAACCCTACAACCTTGGCGAGTCCGCCCTGCTCCCCCTCACCTTACGTGATGGCGTCGGATTCGGATTTCATCAACCTTCTTAATTATACGTAGCAACTTTTCGCAGATGATGTTCTTCCGCCGATTTGTCAAGGTCGCAGTTCGTGAAAAATGCCGGGAGGCCAGTCCACAATCCTTTAAGGTTGCGTTCACACTCGTGAGAATGGTGGCGACAAAGTATAAGTCAATCTGGCGAGTCGAACGGAGATTAGGAGAACAGCGTTGTGTGCCTAATGAAGCAGACGGGAACCGATCGGCTCCGGTCGCTAGCGGTCCGATGCGCCTATTCGACTTTTCACCCTAGTTGTTAGCAACCGAAATCGGTGGATTCATGTCTGTTTTTCGACGCACACTCTCCTGGACGGCTCACTCTCCCAAATCGCCAAGATTCCGATACCTATACTTTACTTGACATTATCCGGAAAGTCAACTCTTCAATCTTCTTAAACAGCCGTGTGGCAAAATGAACGTAGCCTAACAGCTTGAGGCGCTCAGCGAACGGAAAAAAACTCGGGCACGGTACAGATCTCCCATTCATATTTTAATTTGATTCCCAAAGCCTCGGAAGACTCAGTGGGGGAAAAAAAGCAACAGAAGCTAACCTAGTTATTGTGGACTGCCGCTCATGAAAGAAGAAAATGGTTTGAATTCTAAGAGTTTTGCGGACGCGTGCAACCACAAGAAAAAATTTGGCTCCGTTATCGAAGACCAAAAGTCGTTAGGTAGTTCCCTTGACTTATACTTAAGCAAGGCCATCTTTTTTCGCTATTTTGCGCCACAGAAGTGACAACAAAAAAGCTTGGCCAGGCGATTTTAAAAAAGCTTACACAGTCATGAATGCAGCAGCTCTGGAATTCTGTTCCGCACCACAATCACGAACAAGCTCACGTTGAATGCTAAACTACCTGGTCCAGTCCCATCCTTTTAACATTGCTAAGCATGTCCTCCAGCTGTTGCTTCATTCCTTTTTTGTGCTTCTTGACAGCTTCCATCAACTGTTTCTTTTCGCTGCTCCGCTTTTCCAAGACCTCCTTCAAAAGAAAAAAGTTCTAGATCATTTATTCTTTGCAGTTGAGCCCACTAAAAAACTCAAAACGTACTTTCTGAACCTTAGAAGCGTACTTCTTTTCTTCTCGCATCCTACGTATTGCTTCCTGACGCTCCTTACCCTCCTGGATTTTCAACAACCGCTTTCTCACCTAAAAATGAACCTCTCCGGTCAGGATGCCAAAAAAAGTATTCCATAACATTTGTTCAGGGATCTGGAACAACGTCATAACCAATGAAAAGACACTTCCATTAGGAAGTTTGGAAAGTTAACTTAAAGAAACTTGTGTGGAATAACCTTTTGCATGTGACCATCGCTCTTCGCCATTTCAGCATAATAGTCAGGGGGTCGGATCACTTTCACTCCCATGGAGAGTAAGCGAGGAACTGCTATTTGAACGGCTTTTTCTGCCTGAAGGTAGCTGAAATGAAAATTCCTACTATAAAGACGAAAATGGGGACCAAAAACAGCGAAATCATTGTTGATGAAGTGCCGACGGGGGTCGTGTATAGAAGCTTGTCCTCCTCTCAATGAAGAGAAGATTTTAGGGGTCGTGCAGAAGTCGGGTCCTCTTGCAGGAGGAAGGAGGCGCCTGCGCTCTTGACGGCTTTGGTTTGTGGGAAGACTATGGGATGAACAATATCTCAGTTGTAAGGAACATAGGAACATTAACTTGCCTCAACAACACTGAATTATGGGCCACAGCACTCCAGGGTTGACTCGAACCCGCACCTTACGCTTACCGGGCGTTTGCGCTATCAACTTTGGAGCTATGGTTCTCTTATCCTATCAGCTTAACGCCTTTTGTGCCTAGCCTTACAGCACTTATATGTTTATCGTGGTGGAAAACGTTCAAGAAGGGAGATGAGCTCTTCTTCGTTCACCCGCAGTCTATCCTCCCTTCCCCACTACCTCAGACATAATCATCGATTTCAAGAGAAACAGGGCGGAAAAAGTAACCGAACACTCTCAAAAGTGATCGATGCGGGACTGGAAAACACAGCAATTAAGAGCATGGGCAAACAACAAACAGCCCAAAAGCTTGTCCCCACGAAAATGATTCCGATATTCAGAGATCACACAACACCAATCCCGACTGAATTCCCAGACATGTTCGTATTTCATTACAAGCATTGTAAAGATTAAGGTAGCTTAACGCTAGTGCGCAAGATAGGATATAATGGCGTTTCCAAGTAGGCTACGGAAAAACAACAAATAATTTGTTTCCCAAATCCCCACGGCACCAGCAAGGAAGGTAGAGAAATTCAGTGAAAATTATCGACTTGAGCATTATGGACATTCCAACTGGGGTTGCAATTGTACGGTACAAAATTAACGGCAACGATTGCTAGCTAAACTTCATCGCAAAGACTCACAACTGCATTTCACGATCGAAATCGTTGTCGATCATCTCCTTAGTGAGCGTTGATTTTGTTGTCACATCCACAGTTTCAATCCAAGGCAGCTTTTTTGCAAACTCCGCAATTTTTTCACGCATTTCGGCCTTCAACATTGTTCTGATAAGGGTAAGAAAGAAGAAACCAGTACAGAAGTAGAATTTCCCAAAACACACAGCAAAAATAAAGACTTGTATAGATTTACGATTGAAGACCAAAAGGCATAACGATTCAACTTATTTCTAAAGTACCTATATTAATAACGTTCAACAATAGGAACGGTCGTCCCGCTAGTTCTTGATGTTCACTAGTCGTGTTTTCATCGAGTTCTATGAAAAAAATCCAACTAACCGTTCTGTTTATAATTGGTCGCTTTGCAGGCACGATGTAGTTGAGTTTATCCGTTTTGAGCAAGCCTTCGCGGAGAGCCACTTGTAACTGCAAAGCATAGCGTAATGTTGGAAACTTCTTTGACCGAGTAGAAAAGGCAACCTCTTTGTCTGAATCTCCTTCTCCATCGGAATCACTTGGCTGTGAAATGTCCATGAGAGATGGCTTTTCTTCATCATCCAGTTTTACAGGAGAGGTGTGGTTTTTATTCCCGTGGTCCTCGATTAAGATCTAGAATGACAGCGTTATATCAGAACACCTCATGTTAGCGCTATTCCATCACTGCAACAGCAAAACGTGAAGATATTTCTGCTTTGAGCGCGTCTGGACTAGCGTTCGATCTTTCTTCTGCTGTGGCGTAAAAGAGCGGAGCTATAAGTCAATGCCATATTTGTTTACAAAGATCCTGATTCCGCAGATGCATAGGAAATGACAATTCCGGCTGCTGTAGCGAATCAGAAGCCGAAAAATATAAACAGAAGCATTTTAAAAGATGAGATGGTAATAAAAAAAGACCTCTTCTGATGCTTTCCGCTTGCGACTACTCTTTCCAATTCCTTTTGCAGCCAATTTTTTGCTCTTTGAGCTTTTTCCCACAATCATTTGTACTCTGTAACAGTTGGAGGTTCCTTCATTGTGTAACAGTTGGAGGTCCCTTCATTTTCGGAAAAAAGGGAACATGAATAAAGAATCAAATCTTCTAAAAACCATGGAACCAAAGAAGTAATCGGGAGCGGACGGATAAAATGAGGTATGCCGTCGATTAACAAGCAGTCAGAGAGAGATAGATTAGAGATTATCACTGCCATTCTCTGCCTACTTAAGGGCATATATATAATTCCACTGAACCACCACAGAAAGTACCTATATCGATCTAGCGTCTACCCGTCTTACCAGCGTCTACTAGCGTCCACCAGCGACCAGAAGTACGGTGTTGTGCAGTAGTGGGGTGCAGATGCACAGGTCGCAATTTCACCACGCCTAATCCAGCTGTCTGCTCCCTCCTACTTCCCCATACTCTACCAGCCTTCTGCTGCCTTTCTATTTTCCTCATACTTTTGGTCACTGGTGGACGCCGGTAGACACCAGATCGATATCCATACGTTCCTAGTCCCTTGAGACACTGGCGGTACCATGGACGATCTAGTGTCGTTGTGGGCGCCGTCGCAAAGTATGAGCGCGGCCCCCTCACGCGGTTTCTAAACGGACTTGTCCGGATCGCGCACCAAGCTGTCGGCCGGTGGCTCCTCCTTCTGTGATGACCAGGCTCGCGTCCATGCGCATTTGCCGCGTGCTGAGTTACGAATCGCTGATCAACCTAACTGTTCAAAGGAATGTTCCTCATCAGCCAAGAACTGAAAAGTAGCGCCCGTCGCAGAAGCAGCAGGAGCGCCCGCCGCGCAACAGAAGGGGGGGGAGAGCCGGCTTTAGCCAACGATCCGACTGGTACGTTCATAAACTACACGGGAATATTGCAGCCTGTTAGGTTAGCCGCCGAAGCAGCCTATGATTCATGCATTCTGTCCTCTTAAAGCGTCCTGCTTTGGAATGCACTCCCGCATTCAGCAGTGGAACGCTTTAAATGGCCCTCACTAAGGTTGTTGATGGAAGATAATTGTGGTAAGTGATTAAGTCAATTGCTGCTGTTCATAACATCTCTGTAAACAAACCCCATGCATTTGGATTAGAGCCAGCTTAGGTCGTACATGATGTCTTCACTGATAAGCGGTGAGGAATGAGTTGTGTTGGAATCATTGAGATCGTTATACTTGAGTCATATCGATCGCATTGTTGTTGTGAGCGGTGAAGCGGATTTCCCCATGCTACCTTGTCACTTTTAGCTCCTATCACTTCCGGCACCCGCTAATAATATTCTCGCCCCATATCACTACCATATCTTGTTATAACACCTCTCGGATCCAAGGTCCTGCTGTCGCTGTACCCTGTGTTATGAATGACCCTCCCCTTCCACGGCCCCTTATCGGATCTTATCAATTGTTATCACTTTGTGTCACCCGTCAATAATGTTCCCTTCCCACACCCTGTATCACCTCTCTGATCCAAGGTCCCACTGTTGCTGTAGCATGTGTTACGAACTTGATGACCCCTCCCTTCCACGGCCCCTTATCGGATCTTATCAATTGTTATCACTTTCTGTCACCCGTCAATAATGTTCCTTCGCCACACCCTGTATCACCTCTCTGATCCAAGGTCCCACTGTTGCTGTAGCATGTGTTACGAACTTGATGACCCCTCCCTTCCACGGCCCCTTATCGGATCTCATCAATTGTTATCACTTTGTGTCACCCGCCAATAATGTTCCCGTTCCACCCCTATATCACCTTTTGGAACCAACGTTCCACGCTCACTGCGATGGGTGCTATGAATTTCGTGACAGACAGACGGTGTCATGACCCTTGGTCATGATGACTAGGATGCACGGGTCGCAAATGCACATTTTCTAGAAAGTTCGCTCATCGCCTGTAACCAACCAATAGGAGGCCTTGGTGCCGCCCACCTGAGCCGGTATTTATACCACCCACAATCAGGGCTATAAAGGTGGCGCGCTGAGGCCCTACGGGCATTCTCTCGCTCGTTCTCTTCGCAGTTCTTCACGGTATCTCCTCTCAGTTTCACTGCTTTCACATCACGAGCACATAGGGACAAGAACGAACACGATGTGCCAACACAGGAGACGAGACACAAGACACTGCGGACCCGCTATCGCCTAAAGAAGAACACAAAGACAACACAAATTAACTTGCGTTGACACGAATATGCTAGTAGTTTAGCTTCATATGTTTATGCTTGTAGTTTTAATGATTGTAGTCATGCTGTATGCGCTATGTGTTACCAATAAACATGTAAACTACCACTTGAACTACCAAAACCTTATTTGAACCGTGATGCAGTTCAAAACACGGACACACACGCACACACACACACACACACACACATACTGACAGACATACTTAGTGAATTATATTTATCTTCCCTCACGAAGTGTAGGCCACCATGGTGCCGAACTTATATTGCATACTGGTCCCTTCCGAGACACATAGTGTTCAGTGCAGTATCAGTGCTGATAAAACTCCATATCTTCAGAATGAGAGGGGGAGGGCTTGACTGCATGCTTTCTACGAACGTGAGTACGGTTGAGCCTTTGCTGGGACCGCAGTTCTGGGGCAACTGTAATCAAGTCTTTCCCTAGCTTAAGACATGATGATGGCGCTCCCAAATGAAAACATTGCATGAAAAACGCATTACACGCCATGTCCATGTTAAATACGTAGTCACACCCTCCCCACAGGATACGGAGCGTACCTTCCAACCCAGGTCTAAAAAAACGAATGGTTCTAACTCTTTCCTTTCATTAGCCGACTTCCTGTATGAGCCGCATCCTTTGAATACCAGGCACACTTCAACCTATACAATGCCCTTTTAAAGGTGGGACACTCAAAGTACTGGAACAACTGACGGTTTGCTCACTTCTCTCTGCGGTGAGATTATTCCGTACACCGGCCTCATTCTAAATAATCGTGGATGCGTGCTTTTCATTTTGAACATAATTTCATGATCCGAGTAATTTGTGATGGTCAGATCTTCCTTTTGCCTTCTAGGTGAAGTTGTAAACGTAACCTGAAATGAAGATATTTGTGATACTTGGTTCCAAAAACTCCCAGAGCAAATCATAACTGAAGTTTGTCCTACAGTTTTCGAAGGGCTGAAATAGATGTGACCAAAGGCTTCCTTCAACGCCATTAGTACAAAATGAACCTCACTTAATGGTGGGGCTTGTATATCACTTCCATCATTATCACTCTCTATCAAGGATGGTCAACACGGAAATCATTGTGCACAATGCTCTCATAATTGCATTAAGAATTTGAGAGATGGTATTTCTAAAACGGTGGCGAAAAGTATTGGTAAGCCTAAACGCAGATCAAAAACCATAGTAAGATGCCATATGTCACGAAATGGTTACAATACCAAGGGACTGATCGTGAGAGAAAAGACTGATTAGGCTGAGTTCACACTTTGCAACAGCGTCCACCAGCGTTTCAAGCTACGCCAGCGACTAGGGAAAAAAATAAATATCGCTCCAGTGTACACCACTGTCCACCAGCGTCCATCAGCGACTAGGAAAGTATGGATATCGATCTAGCAAACGCCAGTGTCAGTGTCACCAGCGCCCATCAGCATCTCGAGAATAGGCAAGTGTATTTATCGATTTAGCGACGGCCAGCGTCCAACAGCGTCCGCCAGCTTGCAGTAGCGTTTCGCGATCAGTTCTGCTCAAGTTCAAAAGTGCCCGCGAAGACGCTGCTGCACGCTGGTGGACGCTGACGCATAAGTAGGAACGCAGCCTTGATGGAGGCTGGCGGAAGAGAGCAGGCACTTTGATGGAATGAAAGTAAACTTCAGCACCGTCCTCTTACAAGTTGCAGCTCGAAAAGTGACAGAAGAGTTACCCGTTTATGACGAACACCAGCCGACCTTGGCCGGCTGATGCCTGCACGTCTTCTTCTGAGATAAAGAATGGATTTGCTGAGCGGGCCCGCCTCCGCCGCGCTTATCTATCCCCTCACCGGCTTTTCTTTTATACAGATAGTCAACAAGTTCTTCGATCATATGTTTCATGCCGAGTAGACTTCACTTATGTGCACTACAGATTCTTTTACGTAAGTGAGGTTGTAAACAATGGGACGTAAAGAGCGATCGGTAATTCCCCCACCGCCACGCGCGGCGATGGGCGCGGCGTTTTCATAACTCGTTTTAACCTGTCGAATGAAGCACCGAACTTCATGTAGACCCCGTCATCGTAGACAGTCATTACTGCTTTCGGTCCTTAATTGCATTTTGTCGCCATCTACTACCTGGAACCATCTCCTTTGCAGCGCAGCGCTTCGCAGCGCTACGCCCAGCAGCGCGCGCCGATTACAGATACTCTTGTCACATACCCGTAAACAATCACACCTTGCCCCAAAGTGATACCAAAACATGGATTTTATTCGCGACTCTGCTAGCGGTTGATCCTTCCTCTATTCATCTTGTCGCTTTCATTGGCGCTTTTATTACCAACACTTGAGTGTATGAGTTTTATACTCGCACTATTACGCTCCCCTCCTCGCACATCTCGCCCACTAATCGCCACGCACGCCCATATTATACCCTCACCACTCCCACTTGCCCCTCTCCCCCCTCCCCCCCACCCCCACAATCCCCACCCGCCTACCCCCGCCATACCCCCCCCCCCCACATCCCCCCTCCTTCCCATCCCCCCGCTGCACGTGCTCACGTCCACCTGCCACGCGAGCAGCTCGTGCAATGATTTTGGAGTGCACTACATGGTTCTCTTATATAGTGCAGGGTGTTATCACAATCAAAACATTGGATTGATACATCTGCACCAACTGGTTTCGCCACCGGCTAGCGGTCGTACACTCTCCTACACTGACGTGTTTGAACCCGTGAAACATTTTGCGGACGGACATACATACATACTATCCGACAAACCGATACACAGCAAGTTGCCGTTTATATATAGTAGTGATAACACCCTACCCACATTCTCATGCCACGTACAACGTTCATTTTTAACGTGATCGTGCAGCTGTTGCGCCACTAGTTTTTCCATTCCTATTGATGAGAGTAAGCTTATGAGGGAGACAAAGTGATACCGTTATGATACCAACAAGTGAGAATTCGTCGTCAACACTTGCATATTCTTCGCTATCCAAGCACTTGGACTAGGCACAGGCCGCTCCAGAACATTCGAATTTGTTTTCTTCTATTTTTTCCTCACTTTTGATTCACTTATCACCTTTTCACTTGTAGCCCCAATATCCACAACTATCGATCGCTGGATGTGCCTTTAACACGTGGAATCTCTCTTCATCGCACACGTGGATCTCTCTTCATGCAAACAGTGGTCGATATACCTCGAAAGGTGCACTAGAACTAAGAAAAATAATTTGCTGAAATAGTCATTCATTCGTGTGATGGAAAAGCGCCGTCGGAACAGGGCACATCATTGGTGTTTAAAGTATCGGCTTTTGCCTGGTTCACATGTGCTATTTTACCCCTTTCTCCAAAATTTCTAGATACTTCCTAACTTTTTTGAGCGCGAAGGTGGGTTATAGTACGCTATGAAAACAGGGAAATCACGAAAAGTCAACCATTACTCCCACCACTCCTACAAAGGCCAGATAGTAAATAAGACCTCCACCCCCCTCCCAAATGAGCAAGTACGCCCCTCCACCCCCCCACCCCCTTTACAACGTCCGCGAAGAGAGAAAAATCAACTATCAAAATGAGTTTTTCTTAGCCCAAATATGACCGCCCTCTCCTGGCAGCCAAATATGACCCCACCCGTTTCTGACGCAGGGCACATCGCTGTAGGGGACACCCACTTAACAGCGCAGGACCGGGCGATTCTATGTCCGGCAATCAGGCGATCGCCGCACCATGCACGCCTGGCGCGCACGTCGCGACGCGGCAATCCCGGAGTTGCATTACCGTACTCCCGAGTTATAACATGAAAGCATTGATTATTGACATTTTGTTGCGTGGCGTTGGGTGTCTTAGTGGGCTCTTGCGCAATTTTTCTCATTGCCCACACGTCAAATCCTGTCAGGCAAACCTACTTCCAGATAAATCCAACCTGTTACAACACGTCAACTGTAACGTGATCGCGCCAAACGTTCAAATGTTAAAGGGTCGATGATCCCTTTAAGAATTTGAACGCCACGCAACAAAACACGTACGCGGCGGCCGCCACGCCGCCTCGCTCCGCCCACCGGCGCGGCGACGCCACGATAGAATCAC